GTGGAGCTCCATCTCCTTCCATACGGTCTCACGATCAGAAATGAATAATATAGAATTCATATATAGAATTCATCATCCGATCTCATCATAAAGTAATTACGGAGGCTGCATACTTCGCTTCGCATTATGCACGGTAAGCACGCTTAAAATGCAACGCCCACCATTTTTACGCGGCAAGTACAGCCTCGTTAATCAACGATCTTGGGTGATGCATCCTATGATGATGAGTAGTGCGGACTTTTCTATATAGGGCGTTAAGTTCAATTTGAGTCCACCTAAGTATGACAAAGATATACGTGAGTACAGGTATGACAAAATGCTGTTGTTAAGCGCTTTGGTTAAGCGTGTTTAAAAAACGTCGCAAATCGACTGTTTCATACCAGCCTCATCGATACCGATACCGATATTCTGTGACATACCCAACGATCGGTATGTTTCAGCCCCGGAAAGGGTCCTTAATTAACGGGCACAGACAAGTCCGTGCCGGTCAACAACCCAGCTACCCATCTCTTTTCAACATGGAGGACCACACACTTATTCGTCCCCAGCTTCATTTTAATAGAATTGCTAAAAGCACAATTGATGTTTAGCAATTCCAAAAGACAAGCTTTTTATTGTTATTATTATAAATATAACGACAAATACGCAGTGCTTTATATCCAGATTTTTAAATTCTCTAAGATCATCATCACTATCAAAGCAGTATTGTATTTTACGCAGGTGTAAAAACGTGCATAGTGCAGCATGGTTCCCACACATATAAAGTCATTTTCAATTCTTAAATTTAATTTACGCCATACTCTCGTTATTAATACAAAAAACTGGAGTCCTGTAAATAAACCTTTACCATAACACATTTTATACACCATTCTTGACAAGTACCAAGATTTTTTTGCTAGCCAGGAATGGCATCACGGATGCTCAGAAAACCAGAAACAAAATAGAAAAAAAATTCCGTTTTCTTATAACTACCTCTACAAATACGGAGTGATTTGTTGCCAAATAAATGTAGTTTCAATTCTCCACGATCACTATCACTATCAAAGCGGTATTATGCTGCTATTTTACACTGGTACTTTGTCAGCGTGTAGACATTTCTCGGTCAAGCCAAGATGCTGAAATATGCAGACAGCTGCAGCGTGATTCCACCACGTATTATGTTATTGTCAGTATTTTAATGTGTCAATGCGTGCAACTAACGAAATGCTAATTTTACCGTTTTTTGATACAAATAACTAGCATATTGTAAACAAGCCTTTACTCATCGATAAATCTTAATAAACTACATTGCAAGCTCACTATTACCAGTACCATCCGAGGGAGTTAGCGAGAACAATATTGGATTGGAAATCGATTTTGAAATATGCGAAGTGCGAACTTCATTCGCCGATATTTGCCACACTCGCCAGCAATGACCTCAATTTACGGTCCATTGTCGAACAATAGGTAACAGTTCTACTGCCAAATTTCTTCTTTTATGTGAATCCGCGTCAATATAATGACCAATTTATTTTGACTTAAGTGTTTTAGCAAGCTCTCATTATATATGAAGCACCTCGCCGAACGGACATAGCCGTGTAGTGCCAGTGTAAAAGAATCCACTACCAGAATTTGTTTAAAGATAAAAATAGTAACGTAAGAGATGATGATACGAAATGTCAGAATAATCTTATGATTTTGGCGGTATATAGGTAATAGATCTCGCTTACGTCAGACAGATAATACGGGAACCGGCGACGGGCAACCGTGCCAAAAATGCGACATGTCTGGTACTGCGATCCTCAGTTCTACCAAGCGTGACGATTAATGCTAATCAACCCCACAACTGGAGAAGCCCATATAAAGTCGTGTACTTTTCAAACCGATAAATCAATTACCGATATAGAGCTATATGGCGGCTGTACACGCTCGTCTCGTCGCCTTGCGTGCCTCTCGTTGCGTAGAGACTCGTTGTATCATTTGAACTCCGTACGCCCGCTGAGATGGACCTAGATGAAACGGTTGCTGCATTTTTCCTTTGTGTAATTACTTATTATAATTTTTTACACGTTTACCACAAAAATAATATAAATAATAAAAATATTAATTATTTTGCAACGATCCGCTAACTAAATACAATGATGTGTCTTACCTGGATTGAAGAGCACCTCCCGCCCTCCCTCAATTGCGTGCACTAATTCCGTCACCACTAGCCCCAGCACCACTACTCCCAACACCACTACTCCCGGCACCACTACTTCCAACACCACTATTCCAGGAAAGACACACCATCGACGATAACACGACACGTGTTTCGCCTCTATACGAGGCATCCTCAGGTGATGTAGACTCTACCGCTAAGTCTTAGCGGTCAGCCGCCGTAATATTTTAATAATAACGCAAAGTAACGCCTGATTCTGAAAAATGAAAAATACTTTATTTAACAGTTAGCACCTTTACACATAATTTAGCAGCGGTTCTCACACTAGGCACGTAGACCTGTATCGTGAGAGCCATATACACATGTTAACAAAAAAAAAACAGAGATTTGTGCACGGCTGACTTTACAAAGTTTTACCTTTAAACATCTTCTCCAATTTATTTATGGTCTATAAATATAAACACATACTTAAACATATATACACAACATTAAATATATTATATATATACATCCGTATGTACACAACATACATACATACATCTCCACATACATATACATACAACATATATAAATATCATATATATATATTATATATATATATATATATATATATATATATATATATATATACATCACATATACATACATACACACACATAAATATTATAATTTGTTAATATTGCAGTATTTTAAATTTGCAATACTGCTATAAGAACAATATCCAATAACAATATTGCGCGACGTTAGTACTATTATGACAGTTTAGCTGTTGGATACCTGTTTTCTTGTTAAACATAACTTTCAGGACCGAACTTTCGTATTTTTATCTCTGTGTTCGTCGAGCAAGCAATTACGTTGCATGCCTTCATAACTTTATTATAAATTGCTTCAGTGTTTCAGATGAATGATAAATTCGTTTGACGAAATCGCTGTGCGAATCCGGGTTGGTAATGGTATTTGAAACACACGTTTTTTCATCAGCTCACTGTATTTTGTGTATGTGATCTTATTGTTTTTCTATGAACAGTAGCCACACTATAAGACAAATATGCCGAATGTTAGTACTTTAATTAACTTTGTACAGTTTAGCTGTTGGAAACCTGTATTTCTTGTTAAGCATCCATCTTTCAGGACCGAAAGTGAGCTGTCTCAAGCATTAACATAACTGATGTTTTGAGTTGAGCTGATGTATGTCGTTCATGTATATGATGAAGAGAGTAGGACCGAGAATACTTACCTGAGATACACCATAGTTAACATGTTGCATTTCACTTATATATGTGCCCACTCTCACGCACTGTTTCCGTTTCTGCAAATAGCTTTTAAACCAATCTAAAACTAATCCTCTGATTCCTATGTTTTCAAGCTTTTGACATAGTAAAGGAACGGAAACAGTATCGAAAGCCTTGGCTAAGTCCAGGAATACGCCAATACAACATTCGTTTTTGTCAAGGCAAGAAGATATATGTGAAACTAAGGTGGTTATAGCGTCCTCGGTGCATTTTCTTTTTCTAAATCCAAACTGTCTTGAAGAGAGCAGATTAAATGCTTCTAAGTAATGCATTAGTCTTTTATTAACCAATTTCTCAAGGAGTTTGGAAAACACACTCAGCAGAGAAATGGGTCGATAATTATCTGGAGAGTTTTTTTAGGCCCTTTTTATATACAGGATACACCATTGCAGTCTTCCAAACTTCTGGAAATACACCGGTAGAGATACTCAAGTTGTATATTACTGTAAGTGGCTCAGTGATAAATTTCTTAATATGCTTAATCAGAGTATTACTTAGTCTATCAATTCCTGGTGCTTTGTCATTTTTAAGATTCGTTATTAGGTTTTCTATTTCGTAAGCGTCAGTAGGTTGCATATAAAACGAGTGTGTTATATTTCTAATTTTACTATTTTGCACTAGACTTTCTTCAGTATTTTTACTTTCAATAAGAATTTTGTGTGCTAAATTTTGTCCAACTGTGGTAAAATAAGTATTACAAATATTCAATGATTCTTTTTTGCTTATAGATCCTTGAATATTTAATAGCTCAGTTGGTTCTTTGTTTGATTTAGTAATGTTGCATATATCCTTTATTGCTTTCCATAATTTCTTGGGCTGTCCCTAGCTTTCTTGCAATTAACACTTCTTATATTCCCTTTTTAACCTAAATAGAAGTTCATTACAGAAATTACGGTATCTCTTATATGTGAGGAGTAAAGTTTCATCATTTGTATACTTCCTTGATTTCATATGTAGTTTATCTTTGTGTTTTATACACCGTATTAAGCCTGGAGTAATCCAAGGTTTTATATTGTATTTAGAACGGCTCACAATTATGCGTTTGGTATGCTTATCTATTATTTTTGATAGGTTATCAGTAAATATAGCAACCGTCTGATTTACGTCTGTTTGATTTTGTAATTCCGACCAATCTATTACCGCTAATTCATTACTTATCGCATCAAAATCAATCTTAACTCTTTCTCTTAATAGGGGTTTAGGTAAGTTTACATTCAGTGATAAGCCAGCTATTGTCATACTGTGATCTGTTATATCCGAAATGCATATAGTACCAATTGTTTCTCCAATCGTTTTAACAAATATATGATCAATACATGATTCAAATCTTGTAGGTTTGGAGATAGCAGGCAATAGTCCGTATTCTGCCGCAAGATAGACATAACTTACAGTATCATTGTCCCCTTTTAAAATATTAATATTAATATCTCCTGTCAATACTAAATGAGGTTTATTTTTGTAGTGATCCAAATGCGATTCCAGATCTATTAGGATCTTTCCGTGCTTCTAAATGAAGGTGAGCGATATATACAGAAAATGGTTTTTGTATCATAATTTATTCTTATTTTTTAACAGTGTGGTATTTCTATTATTAGACAGTCTGCTTCGTTAAAGACTGGCTCTGTAACATTTGAGTTCCATGCGTCTTTAATGTACACTACTACACCACTATTTTGATTGGTTATTTTATGAGTTCTGTACGATATGTATCCTGGAAGTACCGGGATAATAGAAGATTCTGCAATACGACATTCCGTTAAAACAATTACATCCAAGTCAAATGCCATACGTTTTAATGCAATCGTAAAGTATGTAAAGTTTTTGATATGCTCCTGATATTAAAATTCAGTATTTTAAATGTATAATCATTAGTTATTATTGAAGCACATTGTTCGAGTTGGCTAATGTCATGACATGTTATAATTATTGTATCTAGATTATCTTGTAAATTATCTAGCATTTACTTAAGTTCACTTAGTTATAAATATAAAAAAAAATATAAAAAAAATAAATAAGTATATAAAAGTAGATTATTAATGTCATGACAAAATATTTAGTGAAACTAAAAATTTTAAAATGTGCAAAGACAAAATTTGAAGTTTTGCGTGTACATGAAATTAAATAGACATAGCTTATTATCAAAATATACGTCCAAAAATAGGAGCATACAATTATGTATGTATATTTACAGGAAACACTCACTTTGATATAATTAAGATTACTATTGTGGTAGTATTTAAGCCCAAAAATATATATGGATAAATAACAAATAACTATACGAGTATAAAAATATATGAAAATGAGAAAAAGCGCATCAGGTCCATAAACTTTTTAAATTTGTACATTATCAGTGTTACTAGATTGCGAAGTGGTAGTACCACTTGAGAAAATACGAAACATATCATCGTGAGACTTAATATGCTGTGCTGGTTTTCCCTCTCTACGACGTACGTAAATGTTACCGCGGTTTGTCCAGCAGTAACTAAAGCCACATTATTTAGACATTTTCCGTGCCTCTCGAAATAACTGCCGATTTTTACTAGTAAGTCGTTCGTTAAAATATATTTCATAAGACGGTCCCTTAACATCTAAATCAATGCTAGTTATGTTGCGTCTCTGCCTAGAGGCTTTAATAATTTCGTCCCTTTTTGATCGACGCAACAGACGAACGACGAAAGGTCGTGAGAATTTACTTTCAGAGTCGTGGTCTGATTGTTTTACCGAAAATGCACGTTGCGGTCCAACACGCGCTACCCAATCAATATCTAGATCAGCCAAATCTATTCCAATCTTGATTATGACCAAGACAGTGTGAGTTAGATTTTCATTTTTGTATTCTGGGATGCCAATTATTTCCAATTCGTTTGATAATTGTTTCTGAGCCATCATATTAAGATTTTTTTAATATAACTTACTGCTTCTTTTAGTGGATGTATATCGGCCTGTTGTTGTTCAACAGAAGCTAGGCGAGTGTTCGTTGAGGCCATGGTATTACCGAGTTCATCTAAACGCTCGTGACAGCAAGTTAATGATGTCATTGCTTCGTCGAGTTTATACTTAAGCGATGAGATTTCGTGAATTAATAGCTTGATTTCAGTTGTCAATTAAACACTGATTTCTAAGTTAGACAGCTCAGTCGAAGTCTTTGGGTTCGATTTATTACGCACAGTGACATTTTGTGAGTGGCCGGAAGTACGTACTGGCGTTGAGCTGTTGTCACCAGTCTTTTTTTCTTGTGCGAGACAAGCGGGACATGTCCAAGATTGCTTATTTACTGCAGTACTTGGTAAATTTGTACATAATGTACAATATATGTTGTCACATTCCGATTTACTGCACCGAAAATAAGTTTTGCTTTTTATATCATTTAAGCACCCTTCGCACCGCATTATGGTACTATGCACAAAGCGTCCTCTCAGAGACAATTACGTACAAGACAAACAAGTTTTCGCTTCTGTATTGTTTACTCTAGATAAGCAGATCAAGCAACGTAAGGAGTGACTCACCGTGCCGGCCGCACGCAGAGATAGTTCTCATGCGTTCACCTAACCGCTGTGGTTCCCTGCAGTAACTTGTCGCCGACAGGCCACTCCTGCCGCGCGTGATCTTGTTTGTTTACAATACTTTTGTAATTATCTTCTATGTTTCACACTTTTTAATGATAAATATATCTTATTTTCTTCACTTTTATAATACTATAAATACTGTATGATTTTAAAGTGACGAAATAATCAAATTAATTATAAAAACAATATATTTAACGAGGAGATTTAATAATAGTAAAGTAAGCAGTCAGCAGATTTGGCAAAGAATCGATTATAATAGAAATCACTTCAATCAATTATAATATAAATAAGCAACGGCGAAGAAGAAGATGGTAGATGGTATTTCTATTTACCGTAACAGTACCATCTACGGTGAACAGAATGGAGTAGGCTCTCGTTTTCATCGCGAGTACTCACGAGAATTTTTAACTCGAGCGCAAAAACCGACAGGCTTCCTAGAGCGAACGAGGGCCGCGAGACGCGCCGCTACGCGAGAGATCACCATGTACACACTCGTACCCGGCCTGTCCCGTGGTGTCTCGATGAGCGTGTACAGCCATCATTAGATAAAAAACTGTAATTCTATTAGTATTTTCCTATTTTATAATCCATATTTACTTTTTTGGCTATTCGGACTGTGAAGTTTATGAGTACTGTGAATCTTAAGGGTCACACCCATTATTGTTTTGCATTCGTTTATACGTTGTAGAGTCACGCTGCAGCTATATTATGGTTGTAGTATGAACTAGTCAGCTCGACCGGGGAAGGACCACGCCCTCACAGAATACCAGCTAAATGCTTACAGCTACAGCTGACAGATTAATGCTGCTGCTTCTCATATGGTGAGTGTAGATAACCGGAGACTGTTATAACTGGAAACGGGGCATTCCATCTTAGTCCTCAGGGATGACAACGCATTTGTATTTTGATTCTTAATTGAGGATAAATGTAGATGTCTATGGGCCAGAGCATCACTTACCATCAGGTAAACTGCTCGTTTATCACCCTTATTCAAAAAAAATCAAAGTATCCCTTTTCTACAATACAAAAAAGTAAGCGCATTGTATTGTTGCTTAGACTGCGGTATCAGTTTATTTCAAAGCTGTACTTAATAACACCTTGTGATTACTTGTCGTGCAAATAATATTGAAGCTTTGCTCACAGCCGTTCAGATGGAAAATTGCATAAGCAACGCTATCGTGACTAAATATTTTCTTTGAAATTTAAAGAGAACATAAGGTTTCCTTGTTAGTTTCATAAGTCTTTTTAAACAGATCATTTAAGATTTCACAAACTGAATACACATAAGATACTTTAAGAGACATTTAAATGCGTTTAAAAAAGAAATATAAACAATTTCGTGTACGCTTTTTGGTTTATAACTTTATTTTTGAGAACGATTTCTTATATTTACGCGAACACTATACATTGATTAAAACTACTTACGATAAAATCCGTTAAAAGTAGTTTTAATCAATTTATTTTAGAGATTAATAAAATAAATATTGACATTAAACTTTGACTTTGCCTTAACCATGTAGTTTTAAGACCTTTAGCTGTGTAGTGGCAAACTAATGAAATCCACTACCCCACATTATCATGCAGGTGTCTTAAGTGGTGACGAAGGGAAACAAACCAGGATATGGGCAGTAGCGTTTTCCTGATAACAATAAAAAATAAATCTCTGGTTGTCACTCCATCTGCCAAGATTGGCAACTGTGAGAAATATCTCTCTATGTGGTAATCTTTTAGGGGAGGCCTATATTCAGCAACGGACTTTTGATAACTTGTTACGATAACGGCAACGACTAACGGAATTAAGAATTCGTTGTAAGTACACATGACAGTACACGAACAACCCATCTTGGATCCTCGCCGTCACTAATGCAATCGTTAATTGCAATCTTAAGTGCTGATTTATCACTCAATGGTGAAGGAAATCATTTTGAGGAAACCCGCATGTCTGAATAATAAAACATCTAAAAACAACAACATTCCCTCCCAGCAATATTCCCTCCCGACTGATTGCTCCATAACCTCTCACAAATAAGAGAATGCTGGGAAAAGACAGTGGGACTACATACTGGTATAGGGTATAACTTTGCTTTACTGCACTTTCGCTGTTCTAAACCAGAAATATTAAATAATAATTCCTTACATTTACTCGAAAACTACACATTGATTAAAACTATTTTCCACCGACTTCAAAGAAGGAGGAGGTTCTCAATTCGACAATATTTTTTGTGTGTGTTTATTATAAGTGAACCAATTTTGACGAATCTTTTCTTTTAAGCTGGTGCTTCTCAAGTGGCTCATAAAAATTTGATCAATATTTGACCAGTAGTTTTTGAGTTAACCTTAATAATGCTTAATTAATAAACTTCGACTACATTAGACTCAAATGCATGTTCTCATTTTATTTATATTGAAGTCTGTTGTAAAATTTTTTTACTTTATTACTAGTTACATTACAGATTGAAATAAAATATTTTTATGGGTTTTATCGCGTTTAATTTTATTTATATTGATGTCTGTTTTACAAAAATTTTTACTTTATAACTTGTTACATTACGGATTGAAATAAAATATTTTTATCGCGTTTAATTTTACTTATTTTTAGTTCCCGACGTTTCAAAGTGTACATCTTGAGTATGAATGTGGTAACTTATAGGGCAAAAAAAATCTATAAAACTAAAACTAAACGCAAGCAAATCACTGCAAGACTTCAAGACACAGTAAGCTCATTCCTTACTCATTCTAAGCGTAGATCGGAACAAAATAAATAATTAATAGCTGGAGGTATTCTGGGTTATCTTTGACATAGGGACGTCAATCGCCTCAGCCCCCACCCCCGTGACCACGAGGTTTGCAAAGTACCCGAAACGTCGGGATTTAATTAAATTAAACGTGATCCTTTTTTCCGGTTTCTTCTCTTTTGTTTCCCCGTTTTTAAAATTCATAAAAATAGTTAAATCAATCGGTAATGTAAAATTTAAAATGCCTACTTACTATATATGTTACTCTAACTTGCCTTTAAATTTCATTCAGCAAACCGAGTGCGATTCTCGCAGCAACCAAAATCTTAGTTGCCATATTAAACGTTTTTTTTTTATTACACAGTACGCGAGTAGCCCGAGTTCGATCCCACGCGGCACCAATAAAATTGTTAATTGCAATTTTAAGCGCTTAGTCACCACGTGCTCGGCGGTGAAGGAAAACATCGTGAGGAATTCTTTATATCTGAGAAATAGGACAAAAAACATTTCGAAGACATGTGAAGTTCACCAACACTCAATGGGGCAGCGCGGCGGACAATTCCTTGCCGTAAAACCCTCTCAAAAATGAGTGGAGGCCTATGCTTAGCAATGGGACGCATATAGGCTGCTTATTATCATTATTTATAATTATTTTAAATGCTGATTTTCCACGTTCTCCACGGTGAGGGACTTCACCAACATGTATTGGAGCAACGTGGTGGAATTTTTTTCTTTAGGATCCTCTCGGAATTAAAACAAGTCTTGTGTGTAGCGGTGAGATGTATATAAACTATTATACCTTTCTATATACTACGTAGTAGTTATAAGCCCAAAAACGACCAAAATTCATGGCGTTTGCGGTAACGATATCATGTTTGTACTCTTTATCTTATTGAAAACATGAAATGCTATCATTATAGCCCATTACGAGTCTTTAACCGAACATATACTACACCTCCTTAAATGCCTCATCATTTCTTTATTCCATTTTAGAAGTTTCTTTTCTTTAAGTTCTGGTTTGCTAAGATTGCGGTGCCGCTACATGACGGTCGTAAGAAAGCGGTGAACGATGAACACGTTAGAACTCACCAACATTCAACTGCATATAATATAATAATTTTCATAGCAGTTTCAAGAAGAAATTTTTAGAAAAGTTGCGGGTTTTTTTTTCATATTAATTCCGGTGTTATTGCGCGCTAGCGTACAAGCAGATTTTGAAAAGGGTTAATTGTACCGTATTTCGATTTCGTACGTTACTTACAACGTTCTGCTACGTGTTGTTTGCAATATTGCAGTTGACGCTTTGAAAACAATGTTTAATATCGTGCCTGTATGTGTCCTGGAAACGCGCATTGCTTGCTGTCTTCAGGAATCATGAAAATACAATGTGAATTTATGAAATTCATAGAGACCGATTCTACTATTTAGACAAATTTTTTTTTCTTTTAAAGAATAAGGTAGTCAAATGAGTAATACAAGCCACTTGATAGTAATAGTATAATACAACGCTATAGCACATGTGTATGTATACATATACACCTTTATGTATCCTTCATTAAAAATTGAAAATAATGCCACGTCACTACTAAAAAGGATGTCGGGTTCTCTGCTGCACTTGGCATACGAAACACAGCAGAATTTTATGCTGGTATTTCAAGATGAGCGTGATTCTTCCAAGGTTGAGCCCATTCGTGGTGCAACCTTATTACAGCAGCGTGTACGAAAAAACATGTGTGC